TTCTAATATCTTTAAATGGACGGCTCTTATCAAAGTATGCTCCTTCATTGATTATGAGCAACCTCTTTTTTTGTGGTTATTTTCTTCCACCAACACCCCCCCCCCCCCCAAAAAAAAAAGGGGGGGGGGGGGTGCAAAAGCTTTTTATTAATGACTCTGGCTCTATCATGTTGTGCACAGGGGCCATCTGAAACTCCTTATGATGGCGGAGTTTTCCAGCTTGCCTTCTCAGTTCCGGAGCAGTATCCTTTGCAACCTCCTCAAGTGCGGTTCCTGACCAAAATATTTCACCCAAACGTGCATTTTAAGGTATCCTTTTTGGTGCTATTTGGTTTCTGCTGAGATAACTTGCTGAGAGTCTGATATCCTGAACTGCAGCAAAAACACAAGTGGAATTTGCTACTTGTTTCCTGTTTTGACTTTGTTTTATGGCACTTCGTCCTTCGAAAAAGCAAATTTTGTATATGTTGCTGGTGTGGTAGAGATGTGGCGACCTGATCTTTTTCGACACGCTAACATTAAAATGTAGAAAAACGCATGGAGCAAAATTCATTAAAAATACTGTTTTCTCCTCAAGTATTTGAGATAATGTCAAACCCCTCTCCTGCTTCTCCTGCCCTCAGCCCCGTGCTCCAACGAGACGTAAATTTTAGCTTCACATTCCAATTAATTTGGCCATTATATTGTGCAATATTTTACTATAAACCAACCAACCAACCAATCAATATGCCCTATCTTCAAACTAGTTGGGTCGGCTATCCGGGTTTTTATATCCATTTGGCTTATTTCCTAGCCCAGTATCTAGTGGATTCATCATACTTAGATTATTTTTGTACTGAACGTCAACCCACTGCAACCTTCCTGATTTATAGGCTTGGATCTGCTGTACTTTGCCAATAAACTGAGTTTGAGATAAGCTGTTCACTATTTGTTTTAAATTGCTTTAGTTACAATATTATATGCAATTATAGTAGTGAATGTAAGATGCATGTTCTTTATGCTAAAAATCATGCATCTATGCCATTAACAATTGTGTGGAATTATAGCGGAGTACCTCTTACAGATTCATTTAGGCCGTTCCTAGTTTTGTACTTGTATCTGTAGAGGCTAATCCCTTGTTTGAAAATATTGTGGTTATCTGGTGCTGCAGTGTGTAGTTTTGTTATTTTCCCAGAGTGCATTTCTAGATGGACTGAGAAAAATCTCTCAACTCTCCAGAAAATTAAAAAACTTAAATAATATTTGACACACATGTGTGCTTGTCTCTGTGTCCTTTGCATTGTTTAAGAATTTACGAAAATTGTTGTACAGTTAGTTCTTACTAACTTACTAATAAAAAAGGAGTCATCTCTTCTTTTCATTCATTCCTTCTTTTTCTTTTGCTCAGACTGGAGAGATTTGTCTTGATATTTTGAAGAATGCGTGGAGCCCAGCATGGACACTCCAGTCTGTTTGTCGAGCTATAATTGCTTTGATGGCTCACCCCGAAGCTGATAGTCCACTAAACTGTGACTCAGGTACTATGCGATGCCTTGATTTGGTGATTGCAAATGCATCTCTTAGAATCCCTTTGATTCCATTTGGTGAATGCACTTTAGAGAAATGTGTGCTTCAAACAATAACGCACAAAGTGATCCCAATGAGAAGCAGTCAGTTCTTTGAATCTTAAGTTTGAGGAGTCGATTAATATCAATAGATTGTAAAATTTCCACTTCATTTCAAAGAAGCGTGCACTTGATTTCACACTTTTAACTTCAACTGTCATCGATCTTGTTGCTCTTCTGCACCTTTTGCTTTTAAAAACACCAGAAGAAAGTGAAAGAAACAGTTTGATGCTAAAGCGGCAACAAAGAAAACAGATGGATGAAGNTTATAATTTTCTTCAGATTCTAGGTAGATGACAGTGCTTCTCTCCGCACAACTTTTGCGCGCCTTTCTCCCCTTTCATTTCCTCTAATTAGATTACTTCTTGATGCTAATTTTCTCCATCTACTATGTACACAGGTAATCTTCTTCGATCTGGTGATATCAGAGGATATCAGTCGATGGCAAGGATGTACACTAGACTCGCAGCAATGCCCAAGAAGGGCTGAAAACGACGTGCTTGTAATAATGGCATTAACAAAACTTGAATCATTGCGCATCTGTTTAGTGTTTTCTAACAACTGTGCATGAACTATTGCGTTTTAATTTTTGTTTTTTCGCAGCGATTTCTGATACAACTGCTCATCACTTTAGCAGGTTTCTTGTGTGCCTTTAGCAAGTGGAATATGTTTAAATCATCTTGATTTTTGTACCTTGCAGAAATAATGCTAAATGGATATCTGATATAGTGTTCATTGTTGTGATACTACCTCAGGATGACAATGTCTTGTGCTTGTGATTTTTTTTTTTTTTTTGGTTATTTGGGCCATTTCTCAATTTGTACATGTCATCCTTAGGTAGGGGCAACACTACTTTCTCTGTGTCATTCCAATTTTATCAGATGTCTCCTAAGGGCCCTGATATTACTAGTATCTTGCATAACCAGTACTCCTCTCGTTCATTTTTACTTGTTCACTATACTAAAAATATATTCACTTTTACTTGCCCGCTATACTAAATAAAGAGAAAGACATTTTTTTTTCTGTTTTACCCTTATCATTAGTTACTCATTCCCCAAATCATTCCCAAGACTTTTGGAAAAATTGTAAAATATATATATATATATATATATATATATATATTATTTCAAAGTGGACAAAAGTGAATGGAGGAAGTACAATATTCGTTTTGGGTTTAAAACTCTGAATAACTGATGCAAAGTTTTTTTGTTTCTGGTATTAAACGCGGAATTACTAATATAACATAAGTAATGTGTAATTAAATTAAAATAATGCAAGATAAAAGTGGAAAAAAATGCGTGTATATTAGCAAGTTAGTGCTAACTCGATTGTAGCTAGATTAGACTATTTTATAAAAGCATTATATTCTTTACATCAAAGTGTAGATAGGGCATTTGCCCCACCCTCACACCTATTCAAGTTGGCATATACAGTGTATAATTTATTTAAGTTCATTCTTTAGAAACAACAAGAGAATATCTCTCCTAATGCTAGTTCATCACAAAAATCAAATGAAGATGGCATTATCACTAGTCACCCCGCACTACAGGCAAGCCTTTCCTTTTCCCAGGTTTTCTAGCACGATCCTGTGCCTGTGGTGAAGCTTGCTTAAGAGACTTACTCCAACTGTGCCGCTCGTATGAATGTCTAGGCTCATATCCTTGACTAGTTGTGACGCTTCTCATTTGCTGGATCTTATCCATGCGCACACCCGGGGTTGGCTAAGGACACGTACGTCCCTCACCTAACACTGAGCATCGCTCTTGCGTGCACAATCTAAACCTCAAGCTTGACACTCGCCTCGTGCATCCGCACCCAGCTTGTGCTTCGCCCGAGTAGGGCAACCTTTAGTCTTTGGCCTTTGTCATGTGCGTCTTTCGTAGCATGCCTATCTTTGTCTTATGGCATCGCCAAACATGGCATTCGCGGCATACTTCTATCCCGCATAGTGTAGTGTCGCCCCACAACTGTACGCCTAGACCAATGGACCCTTGCTTGCCTAGCTGAACCCAAGCTAAGCTCACAAGTCGACACATGAGGCCCCTAAGAAAGGTGCTTCAAGTATCCAATCGGCACGGAGGTCTTCATCCATCATTTCAATAGCCCGCAGGGCATAATTGTCCCACATGTCAAGCCTCCAGTGCCTGTTTGGTGCCCAACGCTAGCCCTAAGGCGTCGCGCCGTCCATAGAGTTCCCACACTCATATGGATACCTTAGACATTCATTTGAGATGTCCAGGCAGGCCCTTGAGGTTCTTCCCCAAGGTAGCTCACTTGGTGCGGCTTGATGGTAGCACGCATGGGGGAGGCTGACTGAGCTTCAACACCTATACCCCCCTTATATATGCTTAAAATTAAAAAGCCCATGATTCAACAATAGTCTAGTTCTGGTCAGAGAATCAGAATGGCCTTCCTTCGCACATATATAAGGGCATACTAGGAACAAGGCCTACGACCGAGATCCCTAGATTCCCGCTAAGTTCTCTTGGCACACTTAGGACATGCAACACAACATATCTAGATGGTTGTTGCCTCATACATAGTCCATCTGCCTGATGTTCCTTCACAATGCTTTGTCAGCACACGCCGCCTACGCGACTGACATTCGTCCTGGTACACTGTAGCACGCAGGACTCATGGATGACATGACCCCTAAAATGCAGGGTGTGACATCCTCCCACACTCAATCTATCATCGTCCCCGATGACACAATAATGCCCACGACAACCCAGAGTCTGCCCCCTCAGGGATGTGCACCGGCTCCCTTAATCCTTGTGGGTCGTACTTCCTCAAAGTCCATCTCAAAATGGAGTCGTGCCCCTTGCACTTCTCCCCCAAGTATCTTCCAAGCATGCCTCTGCACTTCACCTCTTATCAGTGTTCGCTCGGAAAGTGCCTCCGCACTTGCACCCTCTAGTGTCTAACTTTGTGGCGACCTACACTAGTCAACCACACCATGACCCTCACGACCTTCATACGTCCGAAGCTCTTCCCTTAATTGTAAGCACATCAACGTGCTTAGACGTAGCTCACGCAACTCAGCAACTCGCGTAGCCCTTTTCTCGCCCTCATTGCCTTGGAAAGATTAGCTCACTTCAGGACTCACAATTCTGTACCAGCGCCTCTGCATAGGCGGATCCCCACACTTAATATGGAGGATACTTCTTTAATGTACTTGGCATATCAGCTCGCTCTTTGGGACGTACCCTTGGTGAGTATTGCATTCTCAAAGTCATAACCTCGCTGCATTCAAGAACAAAGCTCTTTCTTTTCCAACTATCACTTCCTCAGCAAGTACCCAATGCTCCCGGTAGTACCTTGTACTCGCCCTATAAATAAGAACTCTCTCGGTTCTGCTAGTACGGTTCCTGGTTCGGTGTGCCTCGCATACTGCCCCATCTCAATGGTCCCCGATTATTCGGTGTACCCCTTTCCAGAACAACACCTTCTAACTTGGAATCCCGCTCAATTCTGGAGCTTCGCTATTTCCTTCGAATTCGTCTCCTCACCTTGGCAATTCAGCACTATGCCTCCCCATCAAATAGTTCGGCTCTTTTTCACAATTTTGGTGGCTGACTCCACCCCATTGTGACACACATGCACTCCCGCTAAGAAGCCTGACATAGGTCCTTCTTTGCGGTTGTTAAGGGACTCTCCTGCCATTCATCGCAACCCTTGAGGTGGCTAGGTATATCTCAATGCCCTTAGGCAGTCCACAAGTCTATCCCGCAGGAAAGACACTCAACTGATGCACTGCTCGCATCTTCGGCAAGATCTTTGCACGATCATGCCCTTTGTTTAAAGTCCATGGCTCACACTCTTTACAATATGGCTGCACGACCTGGAAAACATGACCTTTTCTTGACCACCCGACTCATCGGCATATCATCACATTCAACTGAAGCACAGACTTACGAAAGAAACTGGGGTTGTCCATTTCCTTCGTCAAAACGGCCAACAGCTCCAACTTGCTGCTTAACATGAACGAAAACGCCTCAACCTGACAAGCTTCCAACGCTACTGAACCCTCATGGTTCAAACGGTATTCAACGCGCAAGGAACACTCTCAGTCCGTTCGACATTCCTTACCACACACTGCCGGATCATCACAATCAAGACAATTGAGCTTCTGCTAACCGTCTATCCCTTCTTGTGGAACTATCCCAACAACATCGCACAATGGCTCTCTTTGCAAACCAAATATGCCTATATAGTATCCCTCTGAAAACAACACCCGCTGCACGAAAGACATCCCTTACGATATCTCAATCAAACTAGGATGCCCCAAAATCACTTCCCAAGATACAGACGATGGCGGAAACAACGACTGTGAAATGGTCTGATTCTGTAGGTCGAAGTTCATGGCTGACAATGCACATTCTAGCCGCGTAATCAACATATATCGATATTAGTTTTTAAGCACATACATTACACGTATATCCCATATTAATTTTAAATAACATATATCTAAGTCTAATAAAATGGTTAAGTTACAAATTCCAATACACATATTCTACAAGCATTTGAAATATAAGTAATCCAAATATACAAAAAGCTATTATTTTTACATATCTTTAATACGAATGAAGTCAGAAATCCTACATCTAACCAACTCAATCTCAGTTAAAAATTCCAGCCATGACACTGTTGATTAAAGTTTGTCTTTTCATTTTAAAATTATGTAAACCGATAATTTATTTTGTCCTGCATTTAAGTAATTTCAATATAAATAATATGCGGCTATTCATCGTACACATACAATACATATCTAGTATCGTACCAACACATCACTATAAATAAAGCAAATTTAACTCTTCAAACCTCTTACAAGGCATATTGGGTTTCTCCTATTTTAACATTTTTGAAATTCTTTCACTTAAATACTTTCTTAAGAAGTTAAAATCATACAAACATTCAAAAAAATAAAAATAAAATCTTTCATTTTCAACCAGATTCTTAACATTCTAGGATGAGAAACAAAACGTCATCCGTTGTGTTTCACTATGTATTGGCATTTAGTAGATGAGTATGGTCCATGTATTAAATATTCAATGAATTTAGTGAATTTATTTATTAATTAATATAACTTCTCAAATTCTCCATATTTCTATAATATCAAAAAGAATGTTCATCAACGTAACAGTTTTATGAAGGAGGTAATATGTGTATTTTTAATGATTTTTATAGTCATTCAACTTTATAGAGTTATTTCGGTCTTTCAACTTTCGTTTTGGGGCTTCACACGTATAGATAACTCGTGACGCACTGCAAGAATTAAATTTGCATCTAAAAACATGAAACTCATTTTTACATTTTGCAAAATAGTATGGATTGCTCACAAATAGTAAAATCTCTTGCAATTCACTGGAGAAATATATTTTTGAGTGTCTGACGATTCTGATTGGCGTTGGAGCTAAATGCTTTGGCTCGTCTTTTGCACAATGCTTCTGTAAAAGTAATGAAACAAAATTAGGAAAAATAATATCACACAGTTTTAAATTAATATTTTAAAATAGAAATAAAAGAAAGAGAAGAAAAGCGTGAGAAATTTCTCTCAAAACTTGAACCGAAAATTATCTTGAATGAATAGAATTAAGAAAGAAAATGAGAGTAAAGCAACTCCTCAAATTCTCTAAATATTTAATAGCAATGAAGAGAACACTAGTTAATGTAATTATGTTTGCTAATATGCTTTTCTGTAAATTGGTTATGGAATTGTAAAAACTATCTCTTAAATAGTGATACATGC